TGCAAAGTAAAACTCTTCATCTAGAACCACCACCTTCTCTGACTGCATTAGTGATCTCTATCAGCAACATGCCCGCCGGTGCGCCTAATCACAAGGTTAACGACATTAATAAAAAAATAGCTCAGGCTAAATTAAACATAAATTATCCCGTCAGTATTTGGCAGTTTAACCTGCTAAAACATTCTTATTAAGTCATTACTGTCAGTAATTAATCCTGCAAACCTTGTTTTTTTTCTACAATCAGTTTTCAACTGAAGCTTCAGTAAAAGCTTTAAAACTGTTTTTGAAATTAGTATGCGTCTGTAAACAAGAAGCAGGCAGGCTGCACCGCTTGACTTGTGCAAACAACTGACTTTGGAGACTCACACTGGAAATTGGGTTCAGAAATTCTTTCAGCCGAGGAAAACATTTCTCACTTTTTATAGAGAAATGAACCTGGAGGCACTCAATTTAAAAAAATAAAATAAAAAGGACTTATTTGGTTGAATTACTGATACATGCAGTGGGATGGAGTGTGTCTGTGGAGTGGAAGCATGAAGCACCATAATAGTCAGGTTAGTACCTCAAAACACTACTTAAATACGGTACACTTCTTTATGGCACACCGGGTTGAGCAGAACCACGACAGATTTTTACACAGTTTACACAGTCGTACATGAATGCATCAAAAACGTTGAGTCAGATTACCTGAGCTTGAGTTCTACCAAAACCGTCCACAGGTTTCTGTTTGACACTGCTGATGCAAAGGTCTGAGAGCCACAGTGACGATGGCATGGACTCCACCAACGTGTTCAAACCTGGTAATGGAGGAATGTTTACCCCGTAAATGTTCAGAGACGTTCAGGTCTGATGGCTGTGAAGGTCGTCTTTGGTCGTCAAAGCTTTGAAGTGTGTTTGGAGCTCAATGCCTCCTTAGAAACCTTCAGTGGAGCCACGATTTAATACGAAGAATAACAATCTGACTTTTGACACGCTCACTTAGTTCTGATGTTTCCCATGATCAGCGTTGCTTAGTGAGCAAAGGTCTGCTTGAATTCTGAGGCCCAGGTGAACAATGGCTGCAGGTCAACTTAGCTTGCTTGGGTTCCTTGAAGACGTTTCATCTCTCATCCAAGAGGCTTCATCAGTTCTGACTGACTAGTTAACGAACCCCACTGTGTCAGCGGGAGCACTAACGACACGCATAACGAGGGGGAGGAGCAACAAACCACAGTTGAAACCCAAACTCAGATGTTAATGTCTCCTTAAGGGTATAAGTATCTGGAACAAGTCAGTCAGAGCTGATGAAGCCTCTTGGATGAAGGTGGAACATCTTCAAGGAACTCAAGCAGGTCCAGCTGCTACGATTAATCCACGAAAAATGCTTTTAAATCCCCAGACCTTTTGATTCTACCAGATTGTCCATGTATGCATGTATATCACTGACATATGCATCTATTCATTCAGTTCATGAATCATTTACATGCACTGGGCAACTACGGGGAGCTTTCCTTTTCACCTGGTGACTGTGGGCGTCGGCTGATTAACTCACTCAGTCTGCTGCTTTAATCACACAGCTGGATTTTACATTGTTTGAAAAGTCGGTCAGATATTCTACGTTAAATAAAAGACACCTCTTAATCGTTTGGGCTGACTGGTGTCTCCCTTCATGTTGACTTGAGGCACATGCAGGACTTCATTTCAGCAGCACGGTTCATCACATTCAGTTTAAAACTCAATTTAGTTCCTGACTTGTGATGATGATATAAAAGCACCGTCGGGCCCTGATGTGAGGATGATACCTGTGAGCCCACATGCATCATCTCTGTTTACAGTTTCACCTTCTTTTCTTTTTTTTTAGGTTTAATTCAAATAAAGAAGCTCAGGCAACATCCTGGAAGTCACTCAGATCAACAGCTGATTCTGCTCATGACTGACCAGCAGGCAGCAGCAAGTCTGTGATGAATTTCATCACAGGAAAGACAAACACACAAGCTGCTCTGAAGCCTCGCTCGCCACCTACATTTGCATTTTGAGTGTGTCTGACTCAACGTTTATCACATGTGGTTGAAGCAGAAGTAATTTCAGAGAGTGAGTTCCTCTGCAGCACAAATGATGAGGAGCTACAGACTTTTCAACTCTGCTCTCTCTTTTCAGATCTCTGTCGCTCTGCTCCAGCCCCGTTACAGCACAATTATTCCAGATGAGGCTGCAGAGATGGGATAAGACCTTTGTTCTCTCGCTCTCTTCCTGCCTCTCTCTTCTTCACTCCCTTTTTTTTCCTCTCTCTCAGAGTAGTAGCCTTATCTCAGCTGCATCACACTCACTAGTCATTTAGGTTATGTCAACACGGATTTTCTTCCATTCAAGCTCTGATTCACATTAGTTCACTTGTGCAGAACTTTGCTCCGTCTCCGTTTCGTGGTTTCTCCAACCGCACTAAGGACAGCAGTAGCCTGGAGGGAGAGCAGGGGGCTTGTCACATGATGGTTGCTGGTCTGAGACGAAAACAAAAGAACAGAGCAGGTACAGACCACCGTGGGTAAGAGCACAGGCTGCATACCAAGATGTGTGATGCGTGACCACTTCCTCTCACTGGACGACAGAAGCCAAACAGTGTCGAACTAGTGGCTGATGGGTGGAGGTGTGGTTTGAAGTTCCTGCCTCCTGCACAGCCCAGATGTGAGCACGCAACCCTAGAACCCTAACCCCAACCCTGACTGTCGTGGATCCTTGCTCTATACTTTTTAAAGTACAGATGAATGGTAACTTCCAATCTCTGAGTCATGTCCCTGCTTTTTGCAGACGATGTGTTCAGATCCAGAAATCCGCCCTCTAGTGTCTGCTTGGAGCATCACGACCGCATCCAAGCAACTTGGTGCCCAAAGATTTGCCAAGTTTTCTTCCTGGAGGTCACAAAAGTGGCCATCATGTGTACTGCTGGCCACGTTAGCGTTAAAGAGCGGCGCTGCACGAGGGATGTTGAACTGCTGGCGGTTGGTTTCTACCTGCAGAGGGAGTTTTTGCACGTCCTGGTGGTTGCGGTTCACATCCCCCCCTCGGCTGATGCTGCTGAACTCATCCATACTTCAGTGTCCCAGCTGCAAACATCTCACCCTCAGTCTCTGATGGTCATCTCAGGAGACTTTAGCCATACATCGCTCTCCCCACATTCAGCCAGTGTGTGGACGGCCCAACCGGAG